TCGTCGTATGTATCCTATTGATGTAACAGACTCAACTACATTATGCATTTAATAATGAGACTTACCATAATTCCACCGTTTTCTTGAATCACCCTCCTTAACCCACTGCATAATTATTAATTATAACTGAAAATGTATTTAACAAACCTCTTCATTTTAGCAACTAGTTGTTTGTTGTGTTTTGTATAAAATACCCGCCATGGAGGAGAGATGTCAGCTGGTGGAGCATGCTGTAAGAAAATTAATTATTTTTGTGAACAATAGAGTATGCATGTACATGTACATGTAACTAACCCATTCTTTAGTCCATTGTTTTATAGTGCCATCAGAACTGATGTAATACATAGATTCACTTGTAGCTCCTTCATAACCTGATTCTGCAATCTATAGACAGTAGAAATATTCATTATTTGTTAAGTTCAATTGCCATACATCAACAATTATGTCATCTTCACTAAGTCCATCTTCATATGCTGCAATTTCTTCTTTCTATAATGAATTATGTGTTAATTTAAGTTATACATGTATTTGTGTTAGTTACCATTTGTTGTGTACCTCTTGGTAAGTGACAAATTTTAAAATAGCCAATTGGTATGAAAAGCATTGAATTTTCAAGAAATTGTATCAATTTTTCTACCTAAAATAGATGTACAATAAGTCATATGATAGATGTATGTATGGTCACAACCTCTGGATTGATATCTGCATTTTTTATTATTCCAATGATTGTGTCATTAAGACTACAGTAAGTATCCATGCTTTTTATGGCATCAATAAGAGACAATTTTTTTCTATTTTGTAAATTAATGTTACAGTATTTGATTAATAATAATTAAAATTACCCATCAGATCCTTTAATAAGTTCAGCTTCTCCACATTTTATCAGAATTCGATTGATCCTATGAAACAGTGTAATAACAAACATCAATACTTTATTATCATACATTGTAGCAACAATTCTGTTTTTCCTTTCAAAATATAATTCTTTAAAAAGAATATGACGATCAGTAAAAAATCTGTTGTATGTGTCTAAATCCTATATTTATTATATACAATTGATACGATATACACAATATGATACTTCTTCAATAACACAAATGTGTCTCTTTCCATCAGAACACACTTCAACATGTATTTTATCCAGAAATTTTCTAAAAAATCATTTAATTAAATATGGTCATAAAAAACTTTAAAATTAACCTCCACTTGAAATTAATCCTCTTTCCCAAGACAACTGAATCTCTCATTGTATAATCCATTCTGTTTACGTCCAAACCACTCATTCTGTTCACCACTATCTGTAAATAATAATATATAAATAAAAAAACAGATTACATCATACCTCATAAAGGAACACTTTATCTTCACGCAGTGCCTAATAACCAATGATAATGTTACAAGATGACATTACAGTAAACATACAGCTTGTGGTCCCATTTTTCCTGTCATTAGTTCTTTGATAAATTCAATATCTTGTTCAGGATTATCCAAATATTCATCAAATGGCAATCTGTTAACTTGAATCATGTGTTGAAACATCATAACATTAGCAGGTAAGTCCTACATATACACTTTATTGAAATAAGGAAAAATAATGAATCAGTTATATACTTTCCAGTAACGTTTAGAGGCTCTTATTTCCTTCAAAAAATCAGAAAAAATATGAGAAAAAGGGCCATGACCCAGGTTATAGCAAAGAGCAGCAATTTGTACACACAAAACATCAGAATCAGTAATATTCAACACAGGTTGTCTTTTTTTGAGTGCCTTCACAAATTTCCCAGCAAAATAATACATTCTGTACCATTAAATGGATTATTCAGTTTTTAGGTAATTTTAATACTTACCCAATACTTTGCTCATATCTAGAGTAGGTTGCTTTTGGCATATTATAATATATATAGCCTGAATAGGACTTAATAGAATGGCAATGGCTTATTGAATATAATTTACCTAATGTTTTAATATTTTTTAATCTTGTAAACTGCTCTGTTCTCACTATTTTTATCAATAAAGGGTGATCAATTTTAATGAAGTCATAGATATCATCCTCAAATGTCTATAAAATTTGTATAGACCGATTGCCCATGGAATTATTATACTGTAATGTTACACAATTGACTTACAAGATACTCATGCCTTCCAAAATTAATTTGTCGCACTTCCAAGTTCATTGACAACAGTTTTACTTGTAATTTTTCTATTTCCACATCCTTCTCTTTTTTGATTGCTATAATTATACATGGTGTAGTAGTAATTTAACTTTTCCTAAATAATCACACACCTTCTTTCTCTCTCTCTTTGGCTTCAATAATTTGCTGCTTTTCTTCATCATGTTTCTAAAATTACTGATGTTATTTAACTCAATTATTATATTAAACTGAACCTTTTTTAGCTCTTTTCTTTCATCTATAGACTATAATAAGCTACTACTGTATTGACATGTACAAGTACCTTGAATTATTGCTTCCAAATCTTGATTTTGTTCTTTATTTCCAGCTAATTCCAGTAATTGCTCATTTCCTATAATTAAAATTTGCCAAAAAATAGCATAAAACTTAGCAGTAGTTTTGACCATGCATGTACATGTGCATTGCAACTTTATATCATGTAAACTTTGAAATTGAAATTTTAGTGAATGGTAATTTGGATGCTAAATAGTTGAGGAAAATAAGCTTTGAGGATAATAGCTTTACAAATGACCTGTATGTATACAGAGGTTCATGAAACTATTTTTACAATTTTCTATTATGCTTTGAATTCCTTAAAATTTACAAAAATTTTTATCCTAAAAAAATCAGCCATAAACATACTTTTCAAATTTTCTATTGTCATTATTAATGTTTCTTCTTTTTCTATTAGATATATTTATTTAAAAATTGCATTAAACTGCATACTGATCACCTTGCACTTGTTTATCTTTCTCAATTTGTTGTAAGGCAATCTTTTCTAGATTATAAATTTTAAAAAATTATTTACTGATAAAACATATGATCTAACCTTTACTGTATTCATTTGCTGATTTTAACTTCT